AAAAAAAAAAAAAAAAAAATTAAAGAAACCATGTCTCAAAGAGCCTAAAATGTTTATTATCTTTCAGAAAAAGTTGGCTGACTCCTGTTCTAAACATTAGTTACACACCAGTAAACAAGAGACAAAACTTGCACATTGATGGAGATGACACTGACTGGGAGAGACTGAGAATACATTAAGTAAAAAGTAACAGTGATAAGTATGGACAGAATTTAAAACATGGCAGGGGGACAGGAAGCCTCGTGCTGGGTCAGAGCTGCTAAATAGGGTAATCAGAGAAAAAGGGTAATGAATTGACTTTTCAGCAAAGACCTGAGGTAAGAACAAACCTCGAAGTTGCCTGGAGGATGAAAATTCCAAATAGAAGGAACAAGAACAAAAGCCCTAAAAGGAATTGTCCAATTTATTCTGGGAGCAGCTGAATGAGGTGGGAGGGGAAACAGGGGGGCAGGCTGGGCCCAGGAAAGGACTTTGGTTTTTACTGTGGATCAGATGGAACCCAGTAGAGAGCTATGGCCAGAGTAGCAATGCATCTGAAGTTTTAGCAGATGTAATGAGAATCTGACGTAAGGCGACTAGAATGAAAAGGATGCCTGAAAGTAAAACTCAACAGAAACCAAGCAGGTGGAAGGGGAGAAAGGGACAGGTGAATTCACACTAACAACTGCAATGCATGCTATCTGGGGAATGGGCACACTTATAACTTTAACTTAAACTGCACAAAGCAACTCATGTAACTAAAACGTTTGTGCCCCCCTAATATTCTTAAGTCTAAAAAAGGGGGGGTGCTCCAGAAGGGAGCAGCCAGAGAGACACGCAGAAAACCACAGGAAAGCCTGGCCAAAGAAGGCGGAGCAATCTGAATGACTCATCTGTCAGTCATCGAGACAATGACTCCCAATTAACAGTCAAACACTAAAAAGAAAGTAAGATAAAAATAGAAAAGTTTTCACTAGATGTAATAATATGAATAGCGATAATAAATATGTAAGAGTGGAAGAGAGAATGGCCAATCTGCAATGGACTAAACAAGGGAGTAAACCTTTTATTTTGAGATAATTATATACGTGTGTGTGTGTG